GAGACCGGTTCCCGCTCACTGGCTGAGTGTGGTGCGGGCACAACACCGAGGGTTGCAATCCTGTTGCTGGTCCCCGGTACGGGCGCAACACCAAGGGTTGCGATCCCATTACCGGTCAGTAAAAAAAGACAAAAAAGGAAAAAAAAAATTGCTGGTCCTACCTTGCTGATATCATCAAATGGCTGGTTGCTGGCATTTTCCTTTTGGATTATGTTCATTAGATCAGTATAAAATTTCTTCGCATTCAGGAATACAAGTGGGTTGTTTATTGAGATGATTTTAATCTGCTGGAGGGTTTCCTTTTGAAGAAAAAGGAGAAATAGACTGAGAACTCTGAATTAAATAAAAGTGAATAACCATATCCAATGAATCTAAATCTTACAAGTACAAATGTTACTCAATTATGGAAGCAATCCCTTAAATAACATTTTTATTATTAAAATTCATTTAGAGACCATAATGTCCTATCACACTTCTTAGCAAAAAATATGTTCTTCCTCTTTACTAAGAAACATTAGTAAACGTGAAGCAAGGTTGCAGCTCTTCAGAAAGCAGTCCTTATTCCTACTAACAGTGCTTTGGGGAGACAATAGCCCAGTATATCCCAAGAATACCAGGAATACCTGTCCTCCCCAAACTACCTCTTCTATTCCATCTGTATCAATTGAAAATTAATTCACTTGACCATCAGTATTTTTTAAAAATGAAAATGTGTCCTATAGGGTCAACTGTCAGCCATTTACCTCTAATGACATAGCTTTCTTTCAGCTGAAATATAACTTCACAAGTGACCAATAGTCAAGTGGAATAAAGAGAACAGGAGGTAGCATCAGGCATATAGTTTCACTTTGGGCATGCCTGGGTTACACTGCATTGCCAGGTTGTAGGTGAGAGATGCAGAAAGGTAAAAGGAAAAGTTTCAACATAAAAGGTGTCTGCTTTGGCCATCTGTGCAGGTACTATAAGGATACTTCAAAAAGTTTGTGGAGAAATAGAACCAAAAGATAATACAAATCTTTCTGTTGCTTTGCCTCACATAGGGTGGTGGAGATGCAAAAAGGATTACTCAAAGCCCATTTCTTCTGAGCAGTGTGACACCCTGAAGGGGTTAATTTCCTGGATCCTTCAAGAGAGAGCCATTCCTCCTTTGGGAAATTAACACTGAACTGGGGTTTTGTCTCAGTATTTATTCTTCAAGCCAGAAAGTTACAGAAAAAGAACACAGGTGGAGTTATGGTTAAGTATAGTTTAACAATAGAGGCTGGTAACATAAGTGAAATAACAAAGTGACATTCCATAATGCAATTTGCAAAAGGTTAAGTCGATCCACCAATAAAAGCTTGTTCTTAGCAAATACTGTGTTTTCCTACAGCAGTTTCCTCAGTATTTTTACATAACAATAAAGCAACTTTCTTATATCAATCAGTAGGTTAACCTGCTCTCAAGGATGTCGGTCCTTGAGAGCCAGCAACTTTGCTGTGTTACAATTCTATATCCACAACAGAGACTTTAGCCTGGGGAACGTTTCCTGTCTTTTGCAAGGTTAACATTTATATATGTAATTTTTTTTTTTTTTTTGGTCCTTTTTGAGACCGGCCGCACCCCACTCAGCCAGTGAGCACTGTGAGCACACCGGTCATCCCTATATAGGATCCGAACCCGCGGTGGGAGCGCTGCTGTGCTCCCAGGGCCGCACTCTCCCAAGTGCGCCACGGGCTTGGCCCTCTATATGTAATTTTAAAAAGTTAGGTTAAACCTGAAACTTACAGGGCTTTGGAAACTAGGCCCTGTGAAATACATTTGCTTCATAAATGTTAGTATACTCCACATCTTTCCATGAACATTTTGAAGGACTCCTGTACTGGCTGCACTTGGTGGTGTGTGCAACTAACACCATCTTCTCTGTGACCTTTGGGACAGGTGTTTGACCTACAAATTAAGAGGATGTTAAATTCTATGAAATGATAACTCCTTACCAACTAAGTAAAGCGATACTCCTCAGGCTTTAGTGGTTGCACAGAAGAGATGCAAAGAATAGTGACTCATAGAGGCAGAAGAAAGAAAGATGAAAGAAAGAAATATTAGGTATGATAATCTGTATAATTCATTTAACCTTCTCAGTTTCTTCATTTTTTTAAATTAGGTTAATGTTCAAACTAGATAATCTCAAAAAGTTTCTATAGCTGCAAAATTAAATAAACTCTAGGAAGTGAATAGATTTGCAGCAAATAACTCAAGAAAACAAAAACTTTAAGTTGATAATTTTTAATCAAGAGTAAACCTTCAAACAAAAATAAAATATTAATTCTTAGGTTTGTCATATTTAGTCATCACAAAGCACCAAACCTTAGACTGACCCAGTAATCATACCACATGACTGTGCCAATATGCTGCCTTAAGTTGAGACAGTATGAAAAAAAATATGTATTTGTTAAAGAAAAGAGATTTAAATTGTTCCAGAAAATAAATTCTCATTGGGGTTGAATTCGCTGAGTGTATAGATGTCTCTCAAATTAGGCATGGCGGATTCCCAGGAAGCAGGGGTGGAAGAAGGAATGAATAGAAGAGAGGAAGGACAGATTATTTTGCTTTAAATTAGTTAAAAATTCCAAAGTTTATGTTCAAATCTTGCTCATAGTTTTTCCCCTCTTATTTCTGACATGAAATATTAAATAACTAGTGAGGTATAATATTCTAATAAAACTAATATTTCCAAGTTACAGTTGTTATTCAGGTCAATGACTAGACTGGAAGCAATCAAGGTTTAAAACTACAGAGAAATTTGTAGCATTTTCATCTTCATATAAATCTGCTCATTCACTTCCCCATGTACTAAGCCCAAGATGAAGGTAAGGATCGGACATAATTTATTAGCCAGTGTTTTTTAAGCTAAAAAATAGTCAAACCTAAAGTCAAATTCTGTCTCAAAGCTAAGGATGCCAAGGCTAGTGGAGGTGTACGTGAGGTGTGAACACACGTTGGACTTCAAGGGCCTGGAGAGTCCATCTGAGACTGTCCACAAGCACTAAATTCCCATGGAAATTTAAGAAAAGAAAAGAAAGGCAGATTTGGTGAAAAACTTAAGCCCGGAATGCTGTCAAAGGCTGTGAACTATTTCTCTTTGAAGAAAATCTTTCCATACTTTTAAAAACACAAGCCATTTCCCTGGGTGTCACAGAAGGACTCCTGATGCTACTTCCTACTTTTACTTGTTTATCTGGAAGTACCCTGCCATGGCTCCTTCTGGTGGGAAGCCAGTTCTCTCTGTTCTGAAGGGAATCATGAGGTACTGAAACAAGTGATTGTGAAAAATAAAGGAGAAAATGTTAACCAAGTATTTACAAAGCAGGTTCAAAGTGAGGGCAATTTTTAAAACTTGGCAAAAAAAAGTCAAGTCAACATTTTTTTCCCTCACTTTAAACTGTTTTGGTCATTCCTTAGAAAGAAAAACTAGAACTTAAACACAATCAATTTGCTCCCTTAAGCATGGGCAGTGCAAGCCAATTTATATAAGTTACTTCCTTAAAAAGGTGTCCACTATGCAAGAAACCAATCCCATTGGCATTCCACAACCATTGGAATTAATTACCCCTGCTGAGTTTAAAAAAACAAAAACACACACACAAATACCATAATCCAACTTTGCTTTATGCCTTGTCTTCCTTCATCACTTAATTCATAATAGACTATTAGTTTGGTCTGATTACTTTATGCAACTTAGTAATGGAAAAGAGGTTTCCAATTGCATGAACTAATCCAAGCCATGATTCTACTGGAAACTGCAGTTCTATGAACTGTGATATGGTCCTATCTGATTGCTAAATCCAAAGAGATTTTCTTTTGTTCTATTAAGTTTTTGCATGTCCATTGCCACATGCGTGGTGGTCACATATATATGTATATATATATATTATATTATATTAGTACATATATATATATATACACACAAATATATATTATATATAGTATATATTAGTATATATATATATATATACTAATTAAAAGTAGAATTATCATGTTTTTAAATGTCATAATTTATCTGCTTCTTATGATATCTTGAAATTATCTCACTTACAAAAATGATTAACTGCAGTTAACAAAGGAAAAAAGAAACTAAACTTACACCATCCATTTCTGTCTTCACTTTAAATTCCATTTCTTTCATGTTTGTTATACTAAGAGTCTTTGCTCTAAAATTAAGGCAGATAAAAAATAAAACAAGTCATTTCCTAATCACTGCATTGAGATAAAGAAACAAAAATGATAAGTCATTTCATCTTAACAATAGAACATATCCAACATGGTTTAGGTCCTATAACCCACTTGTTCATAAAGCATTAGTAAATCTATATCTCTGGAATATTCAGGAATAGAGAGTAATGACAGAGGCATCTGAATAGAGATTAACAAATGCAATTCACCTCCCTTGTGTTCCCAGAGCCCCATATCTCCAAGCTACAAGACGAAAATTGGTAAGAAGAATTACAAAAGAGAAAGGGCTAGAGAGTACACAGTATATGATAAAATCTTATTTTAGAGGAAAGGAAGGAAAGAGGGAATCAAAGGCAAGACAGGACCAGATAATACTGAATCTGCATATATAGATTCTATAAAGATAGAATCTATAGAATAAAACTTAACATTTTTAGGAATATTCTACACACATTCTTATCCTTCCCTTGAAAGTATTTGTAAAGTAATATATTCCTAAAAATGGTTTATAGATATTTAATAAAAAAAGAAAGAGAGCGTATTCCTCAACAAATTATAAAATTATATATATACACCTGTGTGTATATATATAATTTAAATTTATATATATAAATTAATCTGGCTTCTGAAAAATAAAATTTTCTAAAGTTATTTAACTTTCCAAATGATCACATTGCTATATGGTTTGTGTATCATTAGATACTATTTCATTTCATGTAATTTTAAAAAAAAATCTCTGTGATGCAGTTTATGGTTAAGGGATTTATTTAATAGATTTTATATATTCTATTTTATAATCAGGATATTTCTCTTCATTAAGACCAACATTGTTACATATCATATGTAAACAAAGCATTTATCTATTTGTCTGTAATTCTCTGACAGTAAACACGAGATTTTAGTACTATATGTTACACAGAAATAAAAGTAACTGGCAACACCATATGTTGTGCTGCTGTGTCAGAATAAACACAGCATTTAAATAAGATCTTACCTTGGGAAGCGTCCTATAACTATAGCTATGGTACAGACAACACCAAACAGCAGCCCCACATTGGCAGCAAAGCATATTGTAAATACATATGTACTGACCCATATGCCCTGAAAGAGAAACAGGAAACAAAAGATGTGGGTTTCATCTCTCTCAAGATTACTAAGTTCTTCATAATCTTATTCCACAACATTCCTGTAACCAAATCTCTCAGCAAGAATATATTATTTAAGAAGTGGTAAATAGAAGCCCAGAAATACAGAAACAAATCCTGGATCCATTAGACTCTCAACAATAGAAGTGGAGAAAAGTTCATTCTTTTATTTCCAGACACTGCCAACCCTTAGTTCAATCCCCAACAAACACTCTATTTATGATCTGTAAATAGTTAGTTGATGTGATGGTTCACAACCATGCCATAATATCCCACTGCTTTCTCATTTAATGTAATAATGTTATGAGCAATTGTTTGCAGATTTTTGGTTATTCCCAACAATATTCTGTTTTCTAGCATTGCTATAAAAATAACTAATGTAGTTTATAACTACATAAGGCTTTCAAAGCCTAATGTTAAAATGACTGAATCAAACAACACTGCCAATGCCACTTTTAGATCAACCACTGTAAAGATCATTATAATTTTATTTAAAAGAGACCACTTATTGTACAAACTAAAAAATCAGGGCCAACTTAGTTCTTGGGAACATTTCAAAAGATTGCAAGAAACACTAATTCTCTTTTGGTTGGAATTCCAAAGTTATAACCACTTGAAATTACAATTTGCAACAAGATATTGTATTATAGTTGGCATTTCTATGCTTACTGCTGCAAAAATATCCTTAAAAGCAAAATAATTTGTGAAATCCAGAAAGTTGTATTTTCTAATCACAAATACCACACTTATCAAAGAGTAGACTAACTAAATTTTCAAACTCTCTTTTCTCCCAAATAACCTGCATCACTTTGCCTATGCATACAATTCTAAATTGATTTCTTTCTGTCTCAATAGCTATGTTATAACTTTAAAAATCTTCAAAAACATAATTGAATTTCATACACAAATGAAAGTATTATGAACTTCTTTGTAATCTGAAAATAGCATAGAATTGGGGGCTGAGGGGAGTGAGGGTGCATTTGTTTTTTTTTCCGATAAGGTTGAAACCTCTCCAAAGAGCTTTTTTTTTTTTTTACTTGAAACACTTATCCTTTGTCTGTATTACTTATCTATAGTGAGCTTGAGTGATTCTTAATAATGGGCTGTTTTGGAAAGCTGAGCCCTTGGAAGCAAATGTAAAATTCTTTTTATGTAGGAGAAACAAACATTCTGGAGTAAAACAGAAAATATATTTTAAATGATTCTCATGTTCAGATTCATCTTCTACAAATGTAATGCTAGTTATTATTTATTATAAGATCATCCCTAGCCTGTCATCTTATAGGTTAGAAAACTGAGATGTTTTCCCTTTATACAGTTGAATAGACAGCCATTTGAGTCTTCTATTTGTACACAGTGTGTTTTTCCTTTCTAATCTATTACATTATACTTAATCCTATACAAAATAAGGCTGCAAATTTATGATCATTATTTCAACTTCCCGTGATGACTCAGAGTCTTACTCATCCCCAAATGCTAACTAAACCTGACTGAGTATGGCACAATAAGACCTCACCAAAAGCTTTCTAAGTCTAATTCCTTTGGACCAACCTACATGATTTAATATGGCATAGGGAACTAAGGATCCTGCTCCCTGCCACTTAAAAAACCACACAGACTGGAGGTCAGGATTCATCAGAGCAACCAAAAATTTTGGTACCATCTGGTTCTATTTTTAAAGCATATTTACTCTCCCACAACATCATCTATTATTATAAGCCAGCCTTTCCAAATGCTTAGTTATTTCCTGAGGCTACATTTATAGCTTTGAAAACATATCAAATGGAAATTAATAACATAGATCAGTAAATAGTTGCATTGGTTAGAATAAGGCCCAACAGTGTGACAATTTCTGTGACAATTTCTATTAAAGACCCAAATGCTGGTTGTTACAGTTATCAGTAGATTAGCTCTTGGTCCCCCATTTTTTTTTTTTAACATTGGGTGGTCCTACTTGCTCCCTTCCCTATTTGGCATTCAGTCCCCAAACACAAACTAACTCCAAAGTTGACTTTAAGTAGGGAACACATAAACTCTTCCTCCTTATAGAAAATACATCAGTGTCAAGCACAGTTTAGCAGCTAATGAATCACCTCACCTCTTTCATACCTATCTGGTATACTATGTGTTTTTGTGACTCATCCATATTATTCAGTTTCTGTAGATTTGAATTCTATCTCAAGCTCAGTTCTGAGCCCATGAGTCAGTCCTCCATTTGGTCCCCTATTTCCTTATTCCTCCATAGAGAGTTTTCACCTACAACTCAAAATAGAATCAATAATAAACTGTAAAAAATGTAAAGAAATTTTTTAAAAGTTTCTGATTTTTTATGTGATGACTATTTATATGATTTTTTAAACTTTAAACCTTCAAATTATTTTATGTACACACATTTTTAGTAATTTTACTTTCATGATATTCTACATATATTCTATCTGTTGAGTAATCTAGACATATTATGTCTACTGGGTAATATAGCCCATATCTACAAAAGTCTGTGCAATATATTTACTCCAAATGCTATGCCCAGATCATATCTCAATAATTTATGGCTTTTCAATGTTGAATTCCTTAGCAGCTAAGATATGTCTCTCCACTTCAACTACAGGAGGCCATTGTCAAGCTAAATCCAATGTCCTGTTGAATCAGCATGCACTTGCTATATCCATGTCACCTTTTTAAACATTACTCTTTGCCCACTTCATATTGCCTACTTCAAGTTTTCAACTTTCTAAGTAGGAGACTACCAATGCTGAGCTCTTGAACCATTTTTAAAACTGTCTATTAAACACTTTCAAACAGAGCATGTCCAAATGTAAACTCACTAATTTCATCCCCAAGATGGATAATGGAGAGGAGACAATAATTGTAAGATCACCAAAGAGCCTGTAATTCTGAGGCTTTGCTTCAATTAGAGACACATCTTCAAACAACATACCTAAATCAGAATTGTGTAACTTTTTACCTTCTGCCCTCCCACATTATTTTTTAGCATATATCCAGGTTCACTAAATAATGCATTACAACCCTAAAGGAATCACCAAGGGGCCTCCTCATAGACACAAGAAAAAGAAAGAAAAAATAATGAAATAGATACAAAGGATAAGTTTAGACCTATAATAGGTGATAAAATCTCAGGAAAAAAACCCTCTGAAATAGATATGACAACTCAAAAATAGAAATACTCTATTAAACAACAACAACAAAACAACATCAAAACTGAAGGAGATAAAAAGCAAGCTGGAAAAATGTACAAAAGAAATAAAGTAGAAATAAAAACATTACAGAGATAAAAGCCATATTTAAAGATAAAATATATGATAATTACAACTAGAAAATAATCAGAGACACACTAAATAGTCCAAAGAAACCACACACACAGGAAAACAAAATAATCATGGGAAAGTATATAGATATGAAGAAAGACAAACTAAAATCAACAAATACATCATTAAGAAGAAAACAGAACAAATAGATTTGGAAAAATATTCAAAGATATATTAGAAGAAAAATTTTGTAAATAATCATTGATTCTGAGATCAAAAAGATATACCACACTCAGAAATTTTATTCTGCATGCTCAACTACAGAAATATTCTGATAACATTACCGGACTTCATGGGCAAGAAGAAAGAACTTCATTCACTGAGCATTCATTTAGGAAAACAAACTTACAAAAAATAACAAAAAAATTATGTTGACCTATGATTTCTCTACCTTATCTTTCAATGCCTGACAATACTGTCAAATCTAAAAAGTCCTGAGAGAAAGCATTTTAAACTCAGACAAAAACTTCTGTCTACTAAAAAAATTAAAAAGGTAGATATTTTTACCATGAAATAGCTCACGGAATATAAGACACATCAGCCCTTCTTGGAAAACTAATAGAAACCATACTTTATCATTGCTCAGTATAATTTAATCTGTTCCCAGTAATATCATATTAGCATAATGCTTCCCTCAATATAACCCATTTGAAAGATAATTCATGAGACCTTTTGAATTTAGATTGTTAATATAAGTATAAGAATAGCAACCTAGATTTAAAAGAGAAAAAATCCAGGTAAAAAGACCAGATCTACAGTAACAGAGCAAAGCATCAAAGAATTTTAAGGGAGGTTAAACAAAAGAGAGAGAGAGAAAGGGATTCATTGCCTCTGCCTTTGTGTTTCTGAGTCCAGAATTGTACACAATGTCATCTTCTGAGACATGTTTTCACAGTGCTGACTCTCACCAAGATAACCAGAGGCTGGCATTGCAGGTAAACCCTAACATGGTACATTTTAGCTAATGTAACAGATGTTATTATACCATTCTGGCTCCTTTAAAGAGCAATAGTGGAAAAAGTAATAGGGAGAGTGGCTTTGCTGTCATTGAGGCAGGACCACCTAGACATGCATCAAAGTGTCAGGTTATCAGGAATCCCTATGTCTGTGCCCATTAAATTGATTACTCTCCATATGTGTGGGAAAATCTGGTCTTGAGTTGCTGAATGTCATGTTAATTGTGCTGTTTGCTTATAGTTTAGTAAAAACAAAAATAAGAACATTCAGTGCATAACCACAAAAAAAGATTCACCTTATATTCCTGCAGGATAAAATTTTAGCAATGAATTCTGGGTTTTTGTACACACTATAAATCATCATATTTTTTATTAGTGTGTACTTACTTGCTGACTCATGCTTCCAGAATCAATTCATAATGTAAATTGGGTAGCCCCAATCCAATTAAATTAGCATTTCTTTAAAAGTTCTCAAACTATGCACACGTCAAAATTTGACAAAATTCTGTTTCTGTTTCTTATAAAGACAATTTATATTTCAATGATTTTATTAAGATTTTTTAAAAATAACTGGTAGTTTGTAAAGTATACAAGTCTCAAACTACTAAATCTATTTTCTGCAAATAAAAGTATTAAAACTTATTTGGTAATATGTACTTATGCCAAAGAGGGAGATTTTAGGTCAAATTTCTACTTACCCAATCAATTTTATCCACATTCCAGTACTTTTTTAAATCCCGGAATTGTATTAGCATTCCCTTCAGTCCCACAACAATAATGCTTGCAAGAACACACTGCAAATAAAAAAGTAAGTTGATGAAAACATAGATAAGATTTTGGCCTAAATTTAAAAGGACTGAGGTACTTTTATTTATTTTTTTTTAAAGGACTCACTAGAAAAAAGCAAGTAGAGGACTAAAGTAATAATTGTTTTGTTTAGAACTAACCTAGTATTGTACCTGACAAATATCATATTAATTCTAGAAAATCACTGGGTAAAACTTATGAAATTCTAAAAAACAAGAAAAGAAAGAAAAAAGTAGTAGAGAACTATAAGAGTGAATGTTATAAGGTTGCATGTCCCCTTAACTATAATTATTCACCATTGTTTGTTTTAAATGTGTTTGTTGCAAAAAATTACATATTTACATTATATATATTTTATAATTGCTTTAAATATGAATTATCTGGTTTTACCTGAAAATATTTATAACTCTCTTGAAAAGTGAACTTGATTATTGGAAGATTCTCCCATGGAAATGATTTATTCTCACTACACAAAAGGAGAATTAGAATAGCAAAGGACTGAGACTGGTTCTTTTCAGAGTGGGAACTTGTTTGTGTCACTTTGGTGCCTCACGCTTATAAAGAGCAAGGTGAGAATGTGTCAACGTTATCTAATGTATCAAGGATGGGAAGATGTATTTTGTTCCCTAGTCCCTTGCCCCAGCACACATTTTCTAACAGTCGAAATTCTGATAAAATTCTTCCAAAGTCTACTTCTTATAACAGAGTATGCCTAGTTCTGCCCTCCACGTGATCACAGACTGAATCTAGTTCACAATGCCGTTTTTATACAAGAGCCAAAGAATTAGAAAACAGCCATGACCCCTTCCTATTCCTCCCTCATTGAATGTATCTTTCCACCCCTCCCCGAGTCACCCTGTACTTACGTAACTTGGTTTTCAGATTTAGGATTATTGAGGTTACTCTTCCAAGAAATTTTATATATGGTGATTCTCATTAAAAGTAAAGTTAAAAACAAGATAGTGAAAAAGCACTACAGTACCATGGGCAGCCAGTAGAGCAAAGGTGCTATTGCATAGATGACTACAAGGATGAAAATGCAAGATATTAGACAAGCCACCTGTAAAATACAAGACAGACAATAAAAAAGAAAGCCTTGAACTTTTTTATTATTCCAAAGTTATGGGGTGGGGAAAATTCTTAGTTCATCTTGATTAGGAGAAACAAAATGTTGGCACATAATTGTTAAATTACATAGACTGTCATTATCTATACTTTGCAGCTGAGGGAAGCCAAACGTGACAGTTGACAAACTGGTGCAATCAAATTAAGTCAGTGATGAGAGAAAAGCAATTCCACACAAAGAAATAGGACACCATCAACTTTTATCACACATCACAGCAATGGCTCTTTAGTTTAAATAGTGAAAGTGACATTTCAATTAAAAGTTCTTTAGACTGTTGTTTAGCTTGAGTCCCCCCCCCCTTATTTCATAGGGGGTTGTTTGGGTAATAACTGAATATGCAGCTTATTGTTTTTCTGTGCTGATGATAAATTTTCACTAACACATTTACTCTCTTCTTTGGAGTTCTTTGTTAGTAAGGATTCCAGTTATGAAACGGTAATATGGGATTTTCTCTCCACTGGCAGAGAAACAGACTTAACTTTACTAATCCTAAAATTTCATTAGTATCATGTTCTAACCAACTCAGCCTGCTGACAAAAGTCAATTCAAAATATGTAATTCCTACAGTTAAATTCCTCTGCTTGATGGAGAACCTGATTTTACATAAGCAAATGTTCATTACTTAAAAACATTTGGTAAAACTCTCATCCGAACAAGAGAAAAGAGGGCTTTCACAGGACCACAAAGATGTCTGTGCATCATTATGGGGATATCAAAGGAAATTTGGATCTATTAGAATGGCTTAAATTAAAAATAAATATTTAAACAATCAATATCAAGGGCAGGCCAGGACTCAGATCAACAGGCATTCTCAGGCATTGCTGGTGGGAATGCAATATGGTAGAGCCACTTTGAAAACAGTTGGGCAGTTTCTTTTGAAGTTATGCATACACTTAGTGTATGACCCAGGATTGCCTAAGAGAAATAAATACCATAAGTAAATATTTATAGCAGCTTTATTCATAAACACCCAAAATCTGTAAATAAATGGCATGTCTACCAGTCGGTGAATAGATAAATTGTGGCACACCTATACAATAGAATACTACTCAGCAATAAAAAAGAACATAGATGAAATTCAAAACCATTAAGCTAGTGAAAGAAGCTAGACATAAAAGGCTACATACTATAAGATTCCATATTTATAAAAGTCCAAAAAAAAAAAAAAGAAAAGAAAAATTATAGGATGCCAGGGGTTAGAGATGGGGGCAGAGAATTGACTATAAAGGGGAATAAAGAAACACTATGAAGTGATAGAAATATTCTATATCTTGACTGTGCTTGTGGTTGTACAATAATATACTTTCCAAATAACAAGAACTGTACACCTAATTTTACTATATCTAAACTATACTCCATAAAACTGATTTTTTAAAAAAAGAAATTTGGGAAGGGATCTGTAAAAATTGCTTACATACATGTGTACATACACAGAATCAGTCCACCATTGGTATTTTCTACTTCAAAAGAATAAAGGAATATAGTACTGAACCTGGTACTATTAAAAGGTATATGTGTGGGAAGAGGGGGAGTGGAGTGGGAGTCACTATAATTATTCAGCTAAACAAGCAGTCATTCAAATGAACATAACAGCTGGCTTTTCCTTGTTGGCAGAGACTGAGTAAGTCTGTTCTTCCTTCCATATTTAGTGGAACTCATCACCAGCACACTCCAACACATAAAGGTACAAAATAAATCTTATGTAGGAAATAAATCATTCAGGGATTAATACTTGCCCATAAAATAAAACCCATAAAAGAGGTTATAGTGCACCAAACTGTCACTATACTGATTATTTAGGAGCAATTGGTGACTTTACATGGCAAAAATTTTTTAGACAATAAAATATGATGCCCACCATTCCACTAGTTGGAAAGAGCTAGGTATCAGAGTGCAGAGCACAGTATCACTCAGCTAGCCCAGTGAGTGGGTAAATTCATATTTATATGGAAAGAAAAAGACATCAACTACAAAGGTTTATTTCTAGACAAAAGATAATGGCATGTACCCTTTTTGTGGGACTCTTCACATATATACTTACAATGTACCTGAAAACAAAATCCTAAATCTTAGAAGATGGAATGAACTTTAGACAGTGGGAGTCTAAACTGCTTGGAAAGATCTGAGGCACAGAGAGGCAAAGTGACTTGCCCAAGGTCATAGAGATAGGGAGTTAGAAGGTATGAAGGCGATATGGAATATATACTGCATTGGGATCCATGAAAGCCAAACGTACTTTAAGTGTCCTAGATATACTATAATACACTAAGGCTGTTATAGAAATTACAGCCTAACCAAATAATGCTATTTTAAAAACAGTAGGCCACGACTACGTTTGGATTTTTCTCTAAATAATATTTAACTTATCTTTAATTTACATGATGTTTTCTTTCTATGTACATAAACAATGATTCACTCACTGAACAACAACTTCAGTCTTGTATCAAAATAAGTCAAAAATTAAATGTATTTTATTTGTCAAAAGGTGACAAACTATGGGTGAAAACTACTATTTGTAGACCTTAGGTGGTAAGTCCTATAATAAGATAGACCACATAAGTAAGTGGCTGTGTTAGCTCCCCTAACGCACTTGCCTCACCACTGTTGACCAAAACACCTAAATGGACAGGAAACCCTTACCAGCTCCGCATGGTGTATCTACTCCCCAGCCATAGAAATTAATAGTATATAATAGTGTCTGCCCGCAAAGCTCTCAAAATACTTATATTATTCTCTCCATACATAAGAGGCCCATAGGCTGAAGTCTGAATTTGTAAAAAAAATCTTTGAGATCATGCAGCCCAAGCCATCATTCCATAATCGGCCAATCAATAATTTCAAAAAGAATTTAAATTAAGATTAGGTATTTGCAATGCTGTCCAATAGAAGTCTCTAACTTTAGGCTTCTGTGATAACCCTCTGGAGCTATATTTTCAAGTATCATCCACTTTCTGAATATCTATAACTTTGCATATGAGGTAATACTTTCTTGCATATTTCTGCTCTACCTAGAGAAAATTTTTAAGGGCAAGTTATAATCAGAACAAAAAAGACAGACGTGTTCCTTTCTTTTTTAAATCTCAGAAAACACACAAAACTTAAGTAGCTTCTTCTTAATAAGTTTCAGGCTGGCTTTGGTTATAATTAGTAAAGAAAAGTGTTCACACCCTTAATTATCCATAGGGCAAACATTGTCTAAGTATTTTACTTTTCCACTCTTTCCACATCATAATAATTAAATGTCCGAAGATAACTTTCTTTTGTTTTAAAATTATAACTACTCATATTTAAGAGTTAATTTTGCATAAAAGATAATGAAATAATCAATATTTCCTTCTTGTTATGTTCTCAAACCAATGTTATATATATTGCATTTTACTTACACAGATGACTGCGCAGGCATTGTTGTTATCCACCTATATGTATAGTTAGAGAAAGAGTAAGATGTCAGTCCTACCCTTCCTGAGTAATTGGCAAACAATGCAAAGTAGGTCAAGAGCTCACTACATGCACGCTTGGTGGGAAGAAGCAATGGGAAAGGGCAGAGGATGAAAGTGGAAGAGGATATTGGGTCACTAAGGCTAGATTCAAAAGACTTTAAAGAAGATGGAAGCAATGAGCTAAATTTTGAAAGAATAAGGGAATATAGTTTGGCACATCAGAACCTGGAGGCAATCTCAGTGTCGCAGAAAAATATGCCAGCTGTCGTTTTTAGTTGTAGCTGAGCTGCGTCTGCAGCAGATGCCGTCTCTCAGCCCTACTGATCGGGTATGCCTCCTGAGCTCCCTGAAGAGCCCCAGTCTCCCCTCTGCTGGAAATGAAAAGACACCTGCAGGGGAGACAGCCAGGGCATACTGGGCTCCCTCTCACAGCTAACATTCTTTAGAGGGGAGGAGGGAAGAAAGAAATGTAACATTTGTTTGTGCTATTTGTCTAAGCCATGCCAAGACTTTCTTATTCTCCTGAGGACCTTTCTTAGATATGCATGCACTCTGCACGTCACATCTAAAGGTGATCACTGTAAAAAAGGTTTCTACATGTCGAGGATAGAAATGTGTCTGGACCTTTGACCATGACACTTGGTATTAAATGATTAGTATCTTTTGTTATCCCAATTCAAACATTTTAATTTGATTTTCCAAAGCATTGAAAGGCTTTACCATCAACCACTTGTGTGTTAAATGGTCTAAGTTCACTGGCCAATACAGCCACATTGAGCACTTGAAATGTGGCTAGTCCATATTAAAATGTGCTGCAATTGTAAAATACACACCAGATTTCAAAGCCTAAGTAGAAAAGGAAAAGAATATAAAATTATTGTTAATTGTTAATGATTTTTAGATAGAGTTCATGTTGAAATGATATTTTGACTCTATTGGGAAAATTAAAACATTATTTAAATTAATTTTATCAGTTTCTTCTACTTTTAAAAACGTGGCTATTAGAAAATTTAAATTACCTTTGTAGCTCATGTTATGTTTCTATTGAAAAATGCTTCTCTAAAGTGTATGATCCTAAGCCTGGTTTTAAATGGGATTTTCCCAGCTTTATATATAGTATATTAAGGGACAATAAAAACTGCCGGGTCTGACCTGTCCCTTCTAATGTTAGCAAAACTAGTAGTTTTCTTTCATAATTATTGAATTTTTTAATTTACCATTCATTCTTTCCACCCATAGTTTTTCACACCTACTCTGTGTCAGGTCCTAGGCTAGACACGGAGGATATAGCGAACCAAAGCAGACAGAAGCCCATGTTCTCCAGCATCTCTGAGTCAGGGTAGAAGGCAGACATCAATCATATGAACACACTTATGAAGAGAAGGAACACAATTGATCCAGAAGTGGCAGTGAGATCTGAAGGATGGGAGGAGTGAGCTTAGAGGAGAAGGGGAAGGGGAAGGGGAAGGCAGCCACAGAGACAAGGAGAATAGACACTGGAGCCTACAACGGCTGAAGAATCATGTCCCTGGACAGCTGAGAAGGAGGCAGAGGACAGGCCAAGAGGAGGCTGTACTGGAAGCACTCAGAGCCCTGTAGACAACATCAAGGTCTGAACTCTAAGAACCCTGCAAAGCCGTTCACAGGCTTTGAGCCAAAATAATGTGACTATATTTGCACTTTTGAAAGGTAATATAGAAAGACTGATAATGTTTGTGAAAAAAATCAGTTGGTAAATTAACAAGTGTAAAGTGGTCATCATGGGTCCTTTGATTGGTTGTCATTAGCCTAAAAGTTGAAGGGATTTTATGTCTTATAAGTTAATTTACTGAGTATAAAGCTAGTCCCTAAGAGAGACAGAGCCATTTAAGGGGTTGTTTTGTGAAGTCATGTCACACAGAAAACTGCTTTCACAAATAGCCTATTTAGAACAAAACTTTTAAGACTTGGCTTGTCTAGAACTTTCTTCAAACCATGTCAGTTATCAGTCATACCCACATAAACTTAACAGTTGCAATGTTAAAGGTCTAGAATGACTACCATGGGAAAACATCCTCGATTTGAGTATGTGCATTAAATCAGATTCTTTCCCTCTGCAATTTAATAGGAATTGTTGAAAAGATTAGTGACCAACTCAACAAGAGCAGCAAAAAAATATTCTGCTACTGAGCTTTGTTTCCATGAACTACTGTTTTGTTAGATTCCTTTCATTTATTTTAAAGTCTGATGAATAGTATACAATGCAGAAAAAAAAAAATCTCTATTAAATAAAAAGTCCTCAGAAAAGTTCTGGTCTTCTAATCAGTCAAACACGTGACCTCCAGAACAGAGAGGAGATGGGGTACCCCTCTATCCCTACCCTATTAATCAAACAAATTTATGCCCAGACCTAAAAATAAATACAAGCTTTCTCAAAGTACTCTTTCTTTTAGACATTTGATGTTGAAAGTCACAAAGATTAATCAGATGGCTTCATTATTACTAAATAGTAATTAGAAAAGCAGATAAATGCCTAAGGAAACCCCAGATATGGAACACATTCAAGGTGAAACACCTCAGAGATTCTATTCCAACCTCTATCCTTGTGACAAATGAAGATGCTAATTTGCTCAAGTTCTCACAGTATGTCAGAGGGGAAATGTAAACCAGAAAACTGTCTTGGTACATCCCAACCAAACCAGGACGTTTTAATGATAAATGTTAAACAACAGGTTCTGAAAATATTTTATCATTTTAAATATACTTAATAATAAAATCAATGATAATTGTTTACATTTAAAGAGCATTTATTTGGTGCTCAAGCATTGTGCTAAATAAGCATGTATTAATTCCTTTAACTTTTATAATAATTCTACTTTAACAGCTAAGTCCTCTTAATGTACAGAGGTTAAGTTACTTGTACAAAGTCACCCAAACATGACTGGTGGAGCCGGAGTACAAGCCCAGGCTCTGAAACCCACACCCTGAATCACTCATTATATGTATCAAGCCTGAACATTAAGAGGAAACCTAATATACTCACTGTAGTGAGAAACCAAGTGAAAACTACTATAGAATCCAATTTTATAGACTGAAGCGTCCTCAGATTAAGGGATGATATTAAGTACACTACATATTAATCATTCAAATTTAAATCACATATGAAAGAAGTTTGCAAAAATGTTTATGAAGATACACATGATGAACCTGCATTTGAAATCACTAACTTTGTAAAAATCAATCAAATTACTTGTGTCACATAAACCAAGGTTGATACAGATTTTCACTTCTTACTTGATGAGTTTGGCAATTATTTGTCAAATTATATACATTCAGAATTGGTAGTTGCTTCCCCTCTGCTTCATGGTATGTTGATATTAATTTTATTTGTTAGTTTTATGCTACATTTAAATATCTGTTTACCCATCTTTCTCTTGCCACTAGCACCCAAGGTCAAGAACCACATACTTTTTTTTTTTTTTTTTTTTTTCCCTTTTTGTCTCTTTTTTCGTGTCCGGCAACGGATCGCAACCCTCAGTGTCGTGCCCGCACCAGACCGGGACCAGCAACGGAATCGCAACCCTCGGCGTCGCGCCCACCCAGTGAGCGGGAACCGGTCTGTATGTGGGATCTGAACCCTCGGCAGGAGCGCCGCCGCGCTCCCAAGTGGCGCACTGTAGCAGTGCGCCACCGGGCCGGCCCGTGGAACCACATACTTTTAAAAGTTCATTCTTCTACAACCTAAAAAAAAATATTTAATGTAGGGTAAACTCCTAATAAGTGTTCTAAATTGGCACACATAGTATTTTATAAATTACATTCAATTCCTATTTTAAACATGAATTGTTTTAATAATGATTAGGAGTTAATGTTAATTTCTTTATATATATATATATAAATAAGTAAATATATATGAATTTTCTTGTATGGAACACTGGTTAAGAGTTCAAAATTTGGAGTAAATCTGTGTGGGTCCAAACCCAGCTCTGGTCTGGGGTTCAATCCCTGTTAACAGCCAGCAAAAAAAGAAAAAAAAAGTTTAATCCCAGTTCTGCCATTTACTAGCTCTGTGACCTAGGTAAATTACTTTATCGCTCTTTTCCTCAACATTCCCATGTAGAAACTGAGGATGATGATTATACCTCCTTCACAGGGCTGCCTAAAGGAGTAAATGAGTTTATTTCTATAAAAAGTATGAGATGCAATGCCTAGCACACAACTCAATATTGTTTTCACCAGCACCACCACCGCCACCACCATCATCAACAGCATCATCTTCATTATCATCATCATCATCATCTCGCCAGTAACAACATAATACCTGGTATATGGCAGGCTCTCAATAAATACAGAATTCATTTGAGTTCCTAAAAATATAAAATGACTGTTTCTTTAACCTGAAATGTGCACATTTTATTCCACATTTACACACTCATACATCTCTATAGACAGGAATTACAGTGTCAAGGACTGATTCCACATGTAATTGATTTTATATTATTTAAAGAAAGTGAATAAAAATGGTAAAAAAATGTCATGTCAACTGTTCAAGTGTGCGCGCACACACACACACACACACACACACACACAACTGATTCCACATGTAATTGATTTTATATTATTTAAAGAAAGTGAATAAAAATGGTAAAAAAAAATGTCATGTCAACTGTTCAAGTGTGCGCACACACACACACACACACACACACACACACACACACGTGCGCGCACACACACACACACACACACACACACACAAAATCAGAGGCACCACTACAAAGAGCTTTGGTTTCAAAGGTTGCTAACAATAAAGCTGCCATTTGTACAGAACTTTTTTAGTTTGGTCATTGAATCACTCAGCCTCTGGAAGGGTAATTCATAGAAAAAAAAGGGGAGAGAGAGAGACTTCCTTGAAACTACTTAAAAAGATTTGAAGAAGTGAAAATGTTTTCGGGACGTTAAATAGAAGCTCCCTCTTCCCACTCTCCAGGAACGGGAGTGAAGGAAGGCCCAGGAGCTGTTTTGTCCCTACTGAAGGATTAAGTTACCTGTGTCTTTGCTCCCGTGCTGTAGAGGCCAGCAGTCCTTCCCATGGCAGCAGCACTTGGTATGCAGAAGAAAAATGAAGGAATCACATTGCTGAGGCCATGGGCCAAAAATTCCTGCAAGATTGGTAACAGGAGAATACATGGCTTCTTCATCATAGCTGACTTTCAGAGACCACAGGTATAATTTGTCAAAGAATGGGGCTGATTTGTATTCCATTTCCTTCTCCCCATTGGTTGGGATTTAACAATTGTAATAAAAATAGCTAACATTTCCTAAATACTTACAATGAGCCAGAAACTATTCTAAGCACTTTACTCATTTAATCCTCATAACAACTTTATGGGGAAATACTATTTATTTATGCTTTCTATGCCAATTTGTCCTTTATCTTTTAAATCACTACAATCAGGCTTTTATTTCCACGACTCCACCAGTGACCTCCACAATCCTAAATCCAGTGGTTAACTCTTACCTTACCTGGCCTAAAGAGGCATTCAACACAGTTTACTTCTTCCTCCTTAAAGGCTCCTACACTTGGCTTCTAGGACCTCACACTCTTCTGGTTTCTTCCTACCACTCTGGCCACCACTTCTCAATTTCCTTTTTGGTTTCTTCTCATCTAACCAATTGCAAATAATGGACCACTTCTCTTCTCTATCTACATCTTACCTACCCAAATACATGTTGACAGCTCTCAAATTTATATCTCCGACTCGGACCACCCTTCAGAACTTCAGACCCATATAGCCCATCTGCTACTCGGCATCTCCATTTGATGGCTAACAGGGATCTCAAGCTAACTAAACTGTGTTACAGCTGTCTACCATCCCAAGTTCTCCCATGTTCACCCCCATCTCAAGTTCCAATTGCTTAGACCAAAAGCTTTAGAGTATTCTTGATATATTCCCTCCCTTTTCCCAGGTGGCATCCACATCCAATCCAGAATCCACCCACTTCTCATCTCTTCCATCTCTAGATCCTGGTCAAAGTCATCAAATCTCACCTGGACTATTGCAAAAGCCTCCTTACAGTTTTCTTGCTCCTGCTGTTACCAATGAGCTCAGACAAATATCCCTGCCCTCACAGAGCTGTGTTCTGGTGAGGGAACACTGACAATAAACAAGATACATATGCAAAGCAAGTCAGAGGAGGACCTGGGGAAATCTGGATTTTAAGGTTTTAGATTACCAAAGAAGGCCTTCCTGAGACGGAAGCATTTGAATAAAGGAGCTATGTAGATATGTGGGAAAACAAAATTGCTGGAAAAGGGAACAAGTGTAAAAGTCCTGAGCCAGAAGCATGAATAGTGGGTTCAAGGAAAAGCAAAGTGGCAGGTGTGGCTAGAACAGAGTACAAAAGGGATATGAGATCAGAGAGGGAAAGGGATAGCGGCAGGTCATGTACAGCCTTGTAAACCATGATAAAGGGGCTTTTAATCCGAGTATGATGGAAGCCACTGGGAGGTTTCGAGTGGAGGAAGGATATGGTCTTTATGTCACCATTGTATCCCTTGAAACTAGACCAGTGCCTGGTACATAATAGGGCTCAATACATATGTGTAGAATGAATGAATGGAAAAAATTTAGTTTGTTATGGATAAGAAAACCAGTGCACAGACAGGATTAAGATCACATGGTGTGAAAATAAGATTTGTACACAGATAGTTCAGCATTTGTAACCACTGAACTTCAGCTTCTCTGCAGACCTGTGCATCTCTGTAGGACCACCAGGCTTGAAACAAGACAGGAGTATATCCAGAAATATGATCCATATAATCTGGACCCTTTGGTAATCTAAGAATAGATCCTGTATATATTTTTTTTTTGACTAAAAAGTATAAGTAATACGAATGTTATTTGTACTTTGAAATCCATAATTTTTGAACATTAGCATATAATGACAAATGTATTTGGATTCTCCCCTAAAAACAAATCAAAAATGAAAAATCAAGGCATCCTTCTTTCAAAAAAAAAAAAAAAGGTATCATAAACCATGAAAGCCAGATTGTCAGCTTTCTGTGAATGATTTAGAGATTTTTTTTGTTTTGTTTTGTTCTGCCCCTTCTTGCTATATACATAGGAAAGTTGTATTTTTCATAAATTCAACATTTTTAGGAGAGGAGAGGGGCTGGGGGCACACTCCACCTGGTTGTCATCAACTGAATATTTGAATTTTTTGGCAGATCCTTGAGCAAGAGCCAGTGAGGCCACATAGCCTACGAGGGCCACTCCGAAAGCTTCGGTGATTACTGCAGAGAGTATGTTCATTGGGGGAGCTCTAGGTGGAGGAATTCTGTGGAAAGAAAGATCATATTGAAGTCATCAACTTCCAAATAATCTGTTACAACTTGCAATGAATTCAACTGTGGTAATGACTCTGAAGTTTACATAGAATCAGTGAAATACCCATGAGAAAACCCAGCAGCCTTGCCTTTAGAAGCCCTTTGTTTTCAACATTATTTAGTAGAAAAGCAAAATTGCAAGGAACACCACAGGGACAATTCCATGTGTCTAGCTGGCATTTATACTCAGGAAATTCAGATTACACAGCAGAAACTCTGACTCAACAAAAATTTTCTGCATCAGAACAAAAGCAAATCTGGAGCATTCTTTCATTCAAACCTTTCCAAATATTTATTTGGCTGGTGTTGCAGACTGTATTTCCTGCCTTGAAGACTACAGTGATATATGCAAACACTAGTTTACTGTGAGCTACAACTCTTAAGTTAATCCCTAAATTTGCCATTGAGTTCATTATCGTAATTATGTTTTTAACTTAATCCTTTCACGGTGCACTTAACTATGCCTTACATATTTAAGAAAAATATGTATAAAAATTCCATCTACCCTCTGTTATAAAATATAGGACCACAGTTGGCTGTTTCTCCATTTCAAAGAGCTGTTTAAAATATTTATCTCAAATAATACCCAGCCATTGTCCTACGGTCTTCAGAAAACCACTTGAGCCGAAGAAGTATCAACATTTAATTATCCCTGATGATTCCTTGGGAAACTTACCAAAAAAGAAAAAAAAAAAAAGATCTCTAAAACAAAAGTAGAAGAAAAAGGGAAGAGAATTCATGTGATTTTAATAACTAGTATGTAAGTAGAATGCTCAACCCTTGCATATTAGCTACTTCATTTAATTTTCCCAACAATACCCAAACCAAGCATTATTATACCCACTATATGGAGAAGAAAACATTTTGAGAAACGTTTGGTAACACATCAACAGTCACAAAGTGAATAGCCAAGCTGAAGTTCAATCTCAGCTCTATCTCTTTTCAAAGCCATGCTCTTTGTACGATTCCTTAAGAGTATGGGTCTGGAAAGGTCATTCAAAATGAAAGAGAATTAGAAGGAATGAAGAAGAAGCCAGACTTCTTTACCTACTTACTAAAGTTTGCTTCCAAGACAAATCGATTTGTATCTTTACAGGCCCTAAAATGTATGCTATACAAAACTGCTACCATTTCAAACTATAGAAACATTTGTTTTATGAAAATTAAGGGTGCCTAATTGCCTAATTATTAACAACAAACTGACCTAGAAAGAAACAATAAACTGATCTAAAAGGTGGAAAAGCAAAGAATCCTTGAGAAAATTCAAGTTAAATCAGATAATCACCATGAGCCTGTATCTACATAGGCTAAAGACAGAGGAATTTTAAAATTAGTTTTTCAATCCCTGAGAATGTTTCTACTGTTCTTCTGCTTTAATGTAGTTAGAAGCCAAAACTTTCCCAACAACTGTAATTTTGCCCCAAAATTCTATTTATTATTGCATATACAGCCCATTAAAAGGGAATAACCTATAAGACACTCCCCCTTCTCTAATATGCCTTTATTTTCTTTCAGCCTATATTTGGAACAAACTTTTGCTTTTTTATAGTGAAAATCTCCTCTTTTGCTAAACTTCCTCTTAGTGTCCAGAGAAAATCTTAGGCCGGGTAGAGCACCATGTCTTCTCCACTTCCGTCCTCTCTTGATATTATACACTACCCAGGCCTATGGGTTTGCTATTTCAGATGATGCTTGTCAACCTTTACTATGATTTAAGTGAAATAAAAATAACGATAAGAATATGTATGTGCATGGGGGGGGGGCAGGCTAAATCCCAGAGAAGGACTCTAATTTGCAAATTCCTTAAATACCTTCCTAATCTTTTCCCTGAAGCCTCTGTATAAAACAGTTATGAACTTCCTTAGTAATACATGAACAGTCCAGAGAGTTACTCTTTCTCTATACATGTAGTGTTTTTTTCCATCATTTTATAATAGAAGTTAATTAGAATTTTTCCCATACAGGGACAAATCAAAATGAAATCCATACCCACCCACCCCAGTCCCTTCCTCCATAAAAACAAACAAACAAACAAACAATATATATATATATATATATATATATAAAATACTACATTACCCTTTTGGAATATGACCAACTACTTCTAATCCATATGCGTTTTCCATATTGGTACAATAACAAGCAAATGATGCAGCAATAATCTGTATGGTTCCATTTGAAAAAAGAAAAAAAGTATTACTGGCCTCTCAAACATCATAAAACCATTTTTAAAAGTAAATATTGCTTACGTGTCCCTTGATTGCCAAGAGTAATGTAGAAGCTCCACAAATATTTTTGTTAATGAAATATCAAAAATCAAAAAGTCCCTCTGAGTTTTTTTAATTTTTAAAAATTTTTTAAAATTTTATTATTTTTTTAATTGACACATAATCATTGTAACTCTGAGTTTTGAAAGCACTTAATTTACAGTCTCAAAATTAGATGACACCCCGGAAATATGGCTTTTCTAATATTCTACCGTATATCAACCCAGTTATGTTTAATTTTGGAGGGAAGCAAAACATAGACACGAGTGTGTTTACAGACACCGCAATCCAACATAAATACCTGTCTCTCCTAACTTGATAGGATGCTTTGTGAGACAGCAAGTTTTTCCTCCGTGACAGCAACCACTCAAGAGTTCTAGATACCGCACTGATGATGTTCCTAATCTATGTTAGTAATCAATGATGATTTACAGTCTCCTTGAATATTTTTGAATTTTGAGCTTTTACTATTTCTTGAAGGACAACATGCTAGTTGACAGCCTGCTGGTCTTAAGATGACCCCCATGGAGTCACAGATTCCCTACATTTCTGTAACTGAGATATGCTAAGCAAGATCACGTGTCCTGTGCCTACACCCATAGAATCTCTAAAATGCATGTCAGAGGCCATCAGCCTTTATTCTCCCAGCCATGCCACCCTAATGTTTTCCATCCATTTTCACATTCTCCTTTTATTATTCTGATAATTTTAATAAATACTACAAATTTCACATGGTTGTAGTGTCAATTTGGAACAGTTTACCTTAAGAGAGACATGCAAATTGTGTACTCAACATACAAATTTACCAAATACGTGGCCAGAAAAAAAGTATAACAAAAATCACACTAGCAAAATTAGGAATATCTAGCAATTAATGCCCAATAATACTATTTTGTTATTTTGCTTTGTTTTTTCCTATCTGTGTATTTCTGTTCTCTGTGATGATATTCAACTGAATTTGCAGAGATTTTTAAAATGTGCTTAAAAAGCAACAAAATAGTCCCGGTTATAATGTTAAATTTTATTAATAGTATATAATGCTATATAATAGTATTTTCTAAAGATGACAGTGGTACCTAAAGATTCAGGCTATTAAGTTAAAATCAAAAATATTAACATATTCAAATATTCCTAAGCTAATCAACCTTTTTTTTTTTTTTTTGTGACCGGTAAGGGGAACGCAACCCTTGGCTTGGTGTCCCCGCACCGCACTCAGCCAGTGAGCGCAGCGGCAATCCCTATATAGGATCCGAACCCACGGCAGGAGTGCTGCTGCGTTCCCAAGCATGGCACTCTCCCGAGTGCGCCACGGGGCCGGCCCCTAATCAACACATTTTAATTACCCATTATCATCATGAAACATCTATGCCAGTTCAGAAAATATTATAACCTGTAAAGAAAATATACCATAGCCACTAGATACTAATCCTTATTGAAAATGGAAGAATGATGTTTAATACACATAGCCAATATTAAATTAAGTAACCTAAGTCACCCAATTAGTCTTCGAGACAATGTCATACTTCCTCACTGTGCCTTTTAACATAAACCTCCTTTATCAGTTGAGTCATTGGTCCCTCTTCAATGCTATTTCAATATTATATGTGTGCATGAGGCCAGCACTGCCCTTAGACCTGGGCAAGAAGGGATCCTGCCCCAGGTGGGCCAGTGCTTCAGGGGGCTCTAATCTGGCCCTCCTCTTTCCACATAAGACGTGAGCTTTGTCGGGGGGATGCCTAACTAAAACCTGAACCCCTCTTTCTGAATCATACTCTGGATACTCAAGAATCTATAATTTCCTGTCCAAATGCCCCCACCTATTTGCAGGGCATCTTCCCCAGGCCCATCCTCCCAGGGTGGCCTAAGGAAGACTAAAGGACATTCATAGCCATGGTGGGGTGGAAATATGTTTGGAGTTCAGACACTGGGGCTACAGTAACCACACGTATACATATGAATCCCCTTGTGGGTGGGATATAGCTAGAGTGGGAAGAGAAGGAGCAGGCCAAGAGGCTAGGTCTCCCACGCTGCTACATTGTGGCAGAACTCAAAAGAATGGAATTCTCTGTTCTAACCTGGCTTTCAAGGTCATCGATAGAGTACACTAGTCAAGGCAGGAGAAAAGGACCTGTTTTATTCAACATTATGATCTACGACTTTTAAGTATTTGAGATTACATCAGTGCTTATGCTTTCAGTCTTGCAAATGTTAGGGGCAACACTGCATAAGGAATATCTTCTATTTTATTATAAGAATAATATTCTTACTAGTTTTGCAGAGAATAAGCAACTGTTTTATTACTAGCTCAATAGCCTTCCTCCTTAAGTTTATTTTTTAATTTTTGTTTTTATAAAACTTATTTAATATAGCTTTCCAAGATATACTAAGCATTTCTTAATATCTATAGGACTTTAAGATAAGGTGGTACATTTCACAGTTGTTGCAGTGAAAACTAATAATCATAGTACTCTGCATTTTTATGGCTTTTTTGAAACATGTGCACACATGTTATAGAGATCACATATGTTATATGTATCTGAGCAAATTATCTAGAGGATATAAATTATACATGGCCTACCTATGAAGAGAGGCCTTCCATCTGGGTTCTACAGGAATGAGTCATATCCTTCAGGGATAGTTTCCAATGTGCTAGCCTTATAAATGTATATAAACCTGCACTATTTCAATAGTATAAAGGTATATTTCAATAGATGAAACTATTTAGACACAATTTGTTGTATAAGTGTACAAAGATCTTTAAAAACCTAAAGCCAATTTATGATAAGTAAATTAGTAGGCTGTAGTTGTGTTAACATTTCATTTTTAACTTAATGCTTTGTTTAGTTGAGTTCCCTTTAGAGGCTCTTAAAATTTCAGAACATATTTTTTAATGCCACAACCCTTAGCAGTGAAGTATAATGTATTGGTTTTCTAGGTACAGCAAAAAAATATTTTAAAGATATTTTAAAGAATGTCATAAAGGGACATTTGTCAATTGATAATATTTCTAGTCATATTATACAGATGCCATATTATTGGGATGTGGTATCACATTTTATTGCTTTACAGAGGATCATTCCAGAGTTCTTTTGAATCTCACCCTTAGAAATGTCTCCTTACTTAAGATCTTAGGCTATGTGTTCCCTTATTTATATAAAAAATTACAAGCATGGGGCCGGCCCGGCTTGGGAAGTGCAGTGGCGCTCCCGCCCGAGGGTTCGGATCCCACATGCAGACCGGTTCCCGCTCACTGGCTGAGCGAGGTGCGGGGGCAACGCCGAGGGTTGCGATCCCGTTGCCGGTCCCCGGTCTGGTGCGGGGGCAACACTGAGGGTTGCGATCCGTTGCCAGACACGGAAAAAGACAAAAAAAAAAAATTACAAGCATATGAGAAATGCTGTATAAATTGAAAACATGCGTGCCTCCTTTTTTAAATTATTGATTCAAAATGTTTCCTATTCTTACATTAATGTATAGCTACGCAAATTAGCCCTACTTTAATGAGAGACAGGAGTAGCTGTGGGTTACTGCAAACAATATAGTAAGCATCTGCAGATTACCCCAACAACTGATAAGCTTTGTATAGCAGAAAGCTAAAATGTTGATTTCATACTTACCAAAACTAAATCGACAGGAAGAACAACTTTAATTTTCCTTTTAAACTGTTCATTCAGCTCTTTAACAAGAACAAGGACCACAATGCTCAGCAAGGATAAGAGCAGAGCTTCCAGTCGGACAGACTTGATGTTTTCAAACACATATACATAAATCTGTAGTAATGAGAAAAAACATGAGCAAAATTTTGGGTCACCCACAATATACCAACATTGAAATCTGGCCCCAAATAAACTCAGTGATTTTTATAAAACATTGTATTGGCTAGGGGGTTGAAGGTCAGGGGTAGTAAGGCAATTGGTGCTGACTCAGGGTAAAGCTATATATTCATTTGAATGTACAAAATTGTTTGGCCTTTGATTCGCCCATCAAACAATCAAAATGCAGGACTTGCACCTTCCTACATCAGGATGCTACTAAAGAGAATGACTCTTCTGGCTCCTTCTCTGATAGTTCAAGGGGCAGAGTCACTATAACTCATAGTTATATGCAGATTCATCATTCAGAGCAGTGAGTGGAACAGGCTCCCTATCTTCAGACCCCATCACTGTTCCTCAAACCCCAGAACCAAGCAAACACACATACGAACCACGCACAAAAGAGTTAAGAATTGGTACTTAGCTGACATCAGATATTTGGCTTAATGTAAAATATTACCATGTTCTCAACCATTCAGCATTTATTTATTTGTTCATTGCCAAATATGTGACCAGTGCGAGGTCGGCAATGATGAACAATTTAGATACAGCCTCAGTATTTATGGGGCTAATAGTCTAGCATAGGAATTGCTAAATAAAGCAATAAATTAGTACAGTACAGTGCTATGGACAAGGAAGGGGCACCTAAATTATATGACTTAGAGGTGTGAATGGTTGGGGGAGAGCTTACCAAAGAAAATAAATAGGAATTGACCAGTTTATGGATGGTGGGAGAGGAGGGGGGAAGGAGACTCGGAGAAAATGTTCTACTTGAAGAGCACATTTATAAAATTTAAGGCATAGAATGAGAGGAGAGGAGTGTATGACTTCTTGAAAAATATGGTCAAGAAACCAATACAATTATTTGTCTTTAAAAATAAGCAGGTCTATCGGAAATCGTCAACATCAAAGAATTTGCTTGAAACTAAGAAGTGGGTATAATACATTAATATCAGATAATCTTAGTAACTTGGTATAATCTTACATGTCCAAAAAAAAGTAGAATAAAAAATGTGAGAATAATGTCAAGGAAACGGGAACTATGCCACATGTCCTCGTGACCCGATAAAGCATTATTTAAAACAACACAAAAGAAGCTGAAACCCTTTAAAGAATAAAACAAAAGGGAACTGGTACAATTCACTTGGTTATATATATATATACATATGATAGTCTACATACATTAAACACATTGTTTTAAACAAAACACATAATTATTGACATGGAAAGGCCTTCCTGTTATGATGCTAAGTGAGAAACTAAGTTTTAAATGAGTATGTGTGGTTTGGTATTGTTCTGAACTGAATTGTGCCCCTCCCCCTCAAATTCATATGTAGAAGTGCTAACCCCCAGTACCTCCAAATGTGACTTTATTTGGAGAAAGGGCCTTTGAAGAGATAATTAAGGCAAAATGAGGTCATTTGCATGCGTCTTAATCCAATATAACTCGTGTCCTTATAAGAAGAGATTAAAACACAGACAGGCAACATGCACAGAGGAAAAACCATGTGAGGGCACAGCAAGAAATCTGACATCTGCAAGCCAAGAAGAGAACCCTCAGAAGACACCAAAACTGCCAACACCTTGATCTTGTACTTCTTGATCACAACCTCCAGAATTATGAGAAATAAATTGCTGTTTAAACCACCCAGTCTGTGGTATTTGTTATTATAGCCCTAGCAAACTAGTACAGATATCATTTTTTATGAAATAAAATTTCAAACTTTAAATACCTATGCATATATCTGAAATGTTAATAGATCTGCATAAGGTCATACCCCTTGTATAATTTTAAAGATTTTAGATAGTCCTTAAATGTTTGTCTTCAACATGTCTCTTAACCCCTCTTCCTCTTGGACACGCTGAATCTGGTTTTTATAACTTCATTTCTATTTGTCCACAGCACATTCCCAAGTCTAGTTTCAGATGATAAAAACTCCCTTTTATTTTAGCCCATGGTTGTCCTTACAGCAGCCCAACTTGTTGTTCTTTGTCCTCCCTATTTTAGCATCTCATACATAATTTGACCACAACCAAAAATATTAGGTCAAAATATTACACAGACTATGGGTCAAAAGAACTTATATAGAGACTATGTTCCTTAGCATCTCTTAGAATTCTACTTAGTAGGTTTCCTTATCAAAAGACTCAGCCTATCTGGTCCAGGATTCAAGAACTTACTTGGTATAAAAGAGATATATTAGGCTATCCGAGCCTGAATTTCATATATTGAATATTATCATTAACATTTTAACTCTTTTAAACAAACAAACAAAAAAAATTATACTCAGTTAAAAGTGGGTGAAAAGGATCAGGTTAATGTAGGCTTTTCAGAAACTCCTTCATCTCTACAATTAAAACAATACTATTTGTACAATCAGATATGTTAGGAAATAAATTAGAGGTCATAGCTTTATTTGTTATCTTTTTCACAGTATTCTATTTTATTCTATACACTTGGAAAGAAAATTAGGTACTACAATATCATAGTTATTTAAGATATAGATGATATTTTTCCTCTCTGTCTCTCTATGTTATATGTGATAATTGTTCACAGAAGTCCGACAGCAAGTGAAGGAACAGGGTCCATTTCTCCTAGTTACCCACTACTCAAAGCCCAGGATAAAAATCCAAAATTCACTCAATGAAATATATTCTACAGGAGATGGGGATAGAGATGTCAAAACGTTGTTCAGCTGCTTTCTGATGGTTTATCGTGATCCAAGAATAAAATCGAGAATATTATTCAGATGATTTGTCGGGAAAAAGACAAACACCTAAATGTTTTAAAGCATTTAGAGGAGTATTCTTTTTGCTTTTTTCCATAGTAAAGCATGCCATAACAGTGCCTGTATAAAAGAGGAGGAATATGCAAAACTCTCAAACCATACCAAATGTGCTGTAGTGTGCATTTCAAGAACATGTGTTAGCAGTAATAAAAATGGCCACCCCAGAATGAAAGGAATGATAAAACCCCCAGGGTTTTTTATTGTCTGCCTGGATTAACATACAACTCATCAAGCAAAGCGCATCTCACAAGACACTCCAGAAAAACATGGGGGTGGGCAGAGGCTCCTTATAACCAGCATAAAGAACACAATAGAAGAGCAGGATTGTGAGGGGTGTCGTGCTAATGACTGTCATATGGACCCATGAGAGAAGTCATAAGCTAAAGCAGCCTCATTGGAGATGCGCGGCATATGGAGATAGAGATAGGGATGGGGCTAAAGATGGACAACACCCCCCCCCACACACACAAGTGCATTTACATGTGCACATTTAATAGGGTTCTGGGCATCCTAAGCACACATTAAATTGCTCATTTCTCCTATAAATCCAGGCATTTGAGTACGCTATCGTGCACTAATCTACAGTAGATAAAAATTCCTTCCAAGGATCATCATTTGCTTTCCAGATCTCAGAGAAACAAAGATAATGTTTATAACCGATATGTAAGCTATTTCATTAGAACTAACAAATCTATTTAATAAAATAGTTCAGCTCATTTTGAAATTATAATACTAGCTCTTTAAACTGACCATTTATTATAACTTGACATAAAATGAAAAATATTGATATGCATAAACAGATCCATTTTGAGATATTTCAAAGAATGAAAATCATCTATTCAAAGTACATATATTGTTTCTTATTATTTTCTTTGGAGGCAAGCCTTTTCTAAAGCACTGAATGGACATTTACACACTATATATATATTTATACAATGTGTTTTTTTCTGATTTGGCCATTGTTTATAAATTTGTGCTTTTTTTCACTGATAGATTCTCAACTCCCGAAATGGTGTCTGGAAGAAAGAGGTACTCAATAAATATTGTTGAATTAATTCATACTTTAGTCTAACATAGTGATAGTAACAATAAATCTGTAAATCAGGGTAGATTTTACCCTGAATAAAAAGAATGACAAAGAGAGGAAGGACCTAGATTTTTCTTTTCTCACTAGCAATACTTGATCTACATCACATTAGGGAGATTTGTAGTTATCATGTATTCATTTATTCAACATGTTTACTGAGGTTCTATTATGTGCAAGGTAATTGAACTAAAACCTAAAGCTACTATCACAATAAATTTCAGGTAATCTATCTTTGATATAGACAATCTGCTATAAGTAATCATTTTTAATAACTCTAATTTACATGAATGAAGCAAAATCAGAGGCTGAAAGAGCTTTTATTCGGTATTCAGTTAAGAAAAAATAAACAAAGGCCTCCCTGGGACTGTACCTATTCAATCATTTCCTACTGTGTAATTGTCACTAAAGTTCTAAACGAGGTGCTGTACGGAAACACCTATGCAGAAAAAAAAATCTAAAGTGTGTCCACTTTGTTAAACTTCATGATGCAAAGAAACAGATCTTACATGCTTAGAAAATATTAGCAATTGTTGAAAACTAAATGGAGTTTCTGCATGATACTCAATTAATCAGAAAAATGCTATCAATCAAAATATCCCTTTCACCAGCATTCTGGTTGCTGCAGATTTTGCTGTAATACAACATACGTGAGAGGAAACGAAGTTTTAAAAATTTTTAGAGTATGATTATACCATTAATAACAATTTTTTAGTAGTAACGATGAATATATTTTTGAAACTATACATAAAGAGACCATAAAGAATATTCAAATATATATTTATTTGCTAAAGAGAATATGTAAACCCTTTAGTATTATTTATCTTTCTTGTGCTACTTTTGTACTAAAGATCTATCATAAATAAGTTTGTATTTTAGTAGAAAAACAAGAGTCTGGTAGTAAAATCAGCAAGCTTTAATTAATCCGTGAGCACAATACTTTAATAGTAGGTATAAACTAATAATCTGCAATCTATGAGTCTTAATTCCCCATACATGACTTTGAGTTAGCCATCACCACAAAGACAGGACTACCTCCAGAAAAAAAATGGTAGCATCCATATATGCTTGCTACCATGTGTGCA